ATTAAGAAGAGAAAAAGTACAAACAATTGAAAAAAGGAGATGAAACAAATCAAAACATTAACTGCTTCTTTCCCTTTCCATAAACCAGCAGAAATGTACAGTACAGTTGTCAAAACCATCTTGCTTACATACATAGATAAATTTCTTTCCCTCACTCTCTCTCCTTTCCTTCTCCTCAATTCAGTAATTCTTTCCTTTTCAGTAAGATCATTCCCTTTTCCCAGTGTCTATTGTACCCTTCAAATTAAAAAAACTGGAATATGAAGACATTTTTCCTTTTCATTAATGTGTCTTGTGTTTTCATATAACCTTTTTATGAGGACATGAGTTACTAGGTTGAGCCTACTTTAATCTTGTGTGAGCCCATCTCAACTTGTTTATACTTGCAAACATCTTATTTCTAAATGAGAAATGGTGGAAAATATTGGAACAAAAGATTACAATATAACCTTTGGGACAGGGGGCAGAATTTGATCCACAACAAAGAAAAGCTAAAAGCTACATGAAAATCGCATGCTCAAGAAAACAGGAATCCCAGTATGCCTTCATTCAATGAAATCATTTAACAGGGCAAATCCCTCATGTAATCTCTTTCATACTAGCTCCATAGAGGCTCAAAGTCATTGCAGTGAGCAAAGGGAGAATGACAAGTTATAAACTACTTCTAACTCAAACAAGAACTGAAGAGAAATCCCATATAAAAAACAAAGGCAATTGAAAAATGACATTGGAACTGTAGGATTTGACACTTCCGAATGCTGAGCATAAAAACTTACCCCAAAATGAATGTAACGACTATGTGTCACAAATACATGCAAATGAAAAGAAGGAAACTAAAAACATGGCAGATAGCATATACCTGGGCATGGAGAAAGGATGACTGAAAAGGACTGTGTTGTGGAAACAGCCTTAGAGCATCTGTGGCCCGAACAAAATGATTTCCACCCATTCTCCTTTATGCATCATCTGAATAAAAGTAATATCTAACTGTAACATAGGAATAAGAAATAATAGTGAAATAAAAATTAGAAAAAATAGATAATTTCTTAGGGAAGCAAATTAACAAAATGACAAAATTGTACTTAGGTTTTCTTAAGAAAACAGACCAATTTTCTTAACTTAATGGGAAAAATCATTAGCAAATCATTCCATTAAAAGCCTTGGTCCAGATATTCCTCTAGAGAATTCTACAAAACCTTCAAAGACAAGAAAACCTGTGTGTTCTAAAGTGGATGAAGGGCACTGCAAATGAAGAGCCTCTTAATTACTGTAGTGAAAGATGAAGAGTGCTGATTTCCTGGTAGGCAAATATTTCCCATACCCTCGGGATTCTTGCCTTCTGATATTAGTGTCCTAGCAGAAATCCTTCCAAGGGAGTGGGCCTAGACTGATGCCAGTAGAAGCTGGCAAATATATGTGATAAGGTTTCAGTGATCCATGGTTATTTCACATAAGATTGTTCAAGTCATCATTTGTGTCCCCTCCTCTGCCTTTCTCTCTTGAGACAATAAGCAGTTACATTTAAGCACCTACTTGGCAAGGTTCTGTGGGCAACAATGGGAGATGTGTGAGATGTTGGAAAGAGAGCCTGCAGGAGACTTCAGTGGACATCGAGGAAGGAAATGGGCCTTTTAGACCTACTTTCTGGGAGGAACTGAATCTGCCAATGATGACCAACTTGGAAGTAGATCCACCCCCAGTTAACACTAAGATGTGGGCTCAGTTGCATCCACAAGGGTGAACTGAAAACCTAGGAGACCCTGAAGGCTCTCAGTTTATTCATAAAATAATGTTTTTAGCTTATTATTATTGTTTACCATTCATCCAAACACATTTATGATATGTTATCATCATCATCATCATCATCACCATTATTTTAATGTTTTGGTTGTTTTAGGGTCTCACTACACAACTTGAACTTGTGGTGATCCTCTTGCTTTCAGCCTCCTTAGCACTGGAATTATAGGCATACACCACACACCCTGACTCTGGCTGGCTCAGCCTAACTTGGTGTGTGTGTGGCAGGGGGGGTGGTAGACCATCATCCTGGCTCGGGAATCAAACCTCAGTCCCATCAAACCTTTGTCCTTGCACTTGCTTAGCTAGTCCACTGAGCTATCACTCTGGCTCTATGATCTATTATTAGTGTAGGATGAATTAGACTACTAAATTGTTTCTTGGGTTGTATCTCCAATTCTAGAAAAAGTGAATTTCTTTAAGGTAGAAATTAAAATTGGATGATGCAGCTAAAAGCATTAATTTTAACACAACAAAAGTTGAGGAAGTTTAGCTTTATATCATTATTTTCATAGCCTTGAAAACCAAAATGAAAAACGATAATATTGGAAATAAAAAGATTAAAGACCTTTTACAGGTTAAAGATGTTTATTAGGACAATAGAAAAACAATTTCCATCATGAAGTTATCAAGACAGTTGGCTGAGACCATCATCCTGGAGAGAAGAAAATAGTGAATTCTCAA